CGAAAAAATTACTCACTTTCGAAAATAATTGAATTTCTGTAATTAGTTGTTCCTAAAATTCCTATTAAAAATTTTAAATTCATTAAAAATTAATATTTTCTAAAATTTCAAATTGTTTTCTTTGAAGTTGAACTATTTATAAAAATTGTAAACGGAACTCTTTTGAAGTCCAATTAATTTTGAAATTCTGAAGTAACATTATTCATTAAATAAGTTATAAGTAACAATTTTATGATAGTTGTACAAGAATTAAGTTATTTAAAAAGAAACTATTTTCAAAAATAGAAAAAATTGAAGGTTTTGTATTAGAATTCTTGTAAATTTCATAGTTTATGAAGCAAACAAAAAAATACACAAAAATTCCGAATTTTCTTATAAATTTTAAAAATTTAATATTTTCCAGTACTTTTAATAAAAATCCTTGACTTTCCCCTGATTTCCCTGACCAATTCTAATTTACCTGACTTTTCCCTGAATCAGCCGTGTAGGAACGAATTATTTTCCGGGGGGGGGGGGGCAAACTACATATATAGATATATTTAACAATGTAATATGTATACAACTGGGGGGCAACTGACCCCCTTGCCCTCCCGTTCTTACGCCACTGCCCTGAATTCCCTGACTTCGCTGACCTGTGGCAACCCTGGAGGAGTAAAAGTAAATAAAGATGGCCGGCTGTCAAATGAAACACGATTACAATTTTTTTAAAAAGAAATTAGCGAGCGACATAAAACTCAAATATTAATTTTTAGAAGTGTAGCAAAATTTAAACATTTTATTAATCCACCATCTTTAATTAGTAATTTTTTAGTTTTTTTTCAGAAAAAAGGATATCAAATTTTATTGTCAACAAGAAATTAAATTCCTAAATTTTAGTTTTTATAATTTTTAAACTAAATTTTATTTTTTAAAAGTTTAAAGTTTTCTATTTAAATAATTATTTAATTTAAATTAAATGTCTTGCCGTGAATTAATAAATTAACTTTCCATACTTACCTTTTGAATGCAAAATTTAAAACTTATTTTAGACACTTTACAGCAACATTGAAAATTGTCACTTAGAATTCTTTCAGTCCGCCACCTATTGAGAGAAAAAACGTTGATATTTGCACTATGGTAACATTTTTTTTTCCATGTTATCGAGCGAGCTCTATTGGTAAATGATCATTTAACTCACCCATTTACCTACAAAATTTGTATCACACTCGGAAGCAAACTTTCCACTATTTTATTTATTTTTACAAAAAGTGTTATATTAATTGGTAATTTTTTTGTTTCTAATTTATTCTGTAGTTTACTGGCTTTTTATTTTAAATACTTTTAAGTTTCAAGAAAGTGCATTTACATGCTTATTTTACCAAACACCGTGTCAGTGTAAATAATCACCGACGATGTTTCTTACTTTAAAAATTATTTTCACATACAAAATTAACATTTTTTATTAAAATACTTATATAAATTTGTTCATCAGAATGTCCTCTTTCAATTTCTCTAATAAAATTTGTGGTTTTATTTGGTTTTTTATATATTAATTACAAAACACCGCAAAACCACCGTATACGGTGGTTTCTCGGTGTTCTCAATTCGCAAGGGAGTAGGCAATAATTATGAACATTGCAATAATGATCAAACAAAGAAGTATACCATTTGTTGAGAACAACATTTTTAGCTAAAAATAAAAAGTAACTTTAACAAAGAATAACTTAGTGCACAAAAAAAAGTATATAGTTTTGTGAAATAATAAAATTGAAAAAACTTTAATATTTTACAGGTCGAATAAAGTTACGACGCTATACACTGAAAAAAAAAGTTCATTGAATCAAGTAAATGCATTTTCTTGACCTGATTTATTTGAAACAAACCCCCCTATTGAAAACACCTACATGGGATCCTACATAGGATCTTACGTGGGTTCTTATACAAAAACCTATGTATAAAATCCCAGGTCCCACGTAAGATCCTATGTAGGATCCCATTTTAAAGCACATGGGTATTTGGGATAGGATTTGGAGTAGGAATTCATGTGGGAATTTAAGTCCACATGGATTCCACATAGGAATCCACATAGGAATTCACATAGGAATCCACATGGATTCCTATGTGAGAACACATATAGGATCCTATATAGGTCAGACAATAAATTTTTTAAATAAATTATAGAATTTATTCTATAACAATTTATTGTAACTTAGAATTATATAGAAATCTTAACATTTCAGAGAAAACTTTGAAAATAAATTTGGTGGGACGGGGATTCGAACCTGAGATCGACGAACGCACGAGACTTACTAAGCAACTACCTAACCAACTACGCTAAACGAGCTATTAATGTCAGCCAAAAAAATCTTCCTCTTAAGGTGCAATAGATTTAAAGGTTTAAAGGTTTCTGGGGTCCTCTGGTTACAAATTTGAAGTTATAGTTTAAAAAAATTGTAAATGGCAAATCCAAAATAGCGGACAAAAATTTTTAAAAAATTATCAGATTTTAATGTCTTTTGACATTTAAGCGTTTCCTATTTTGCTGATTACGAATTTAAAATAATATTAAAAATGTAGATATTATTTTGTATTTTATGTAAATAATTAATTATGGATAAAGAAAGGTTTACTTATTGTGGTTACTTATTTATTAGGTTTTATTGCTTTTTAACTATAATTATTCCCAAAATTTTTTCTAAAATATGCAGAAATAATTAAAAAATCCCTACGAAGCTGGAATCGAACTCGGATATCTTGGTCTTGAAGAACTGCGCCTAAAGCACCTCAGCCGTTCAAGACAGATACATATGAACCTCTAATACAAAGTTAACGATTTCACTTGTCAATGAAATGAATTTAACTTAGAAAAATTCTAAGGAATTTTACATTCATGAATTTCTAAGTCCAAGTTGAACTTAGAAAATATTTTCTATTTATGAAAATTTTTCTATTTTCAAAAGTTGAATGAATAAGACGTCTTTACACTGCAAAAACAAGCATCTTAAAATACATTGTACTCACTTTTAAAACATCTTATTTATTTTCCCAACTTCCATCTTAGAAACTAATGAGCAATAGAGAGAGTGAGAGAGAGTAAGAGGGAGAGAGTGAGTGACTTCAAATTCGTAATCAGCGACCCCAAAAACCCCCGAGTAACAATTTCCAAGCAAATACGATCGAATTTTATAAATGTCCGCCATATTGGATCCGCCATTTTGAATTTTGAAAATCTGACTTTGGATTTGTATTCGGCGACTCCAAAAACCTCTCAGTAGCGAAATCCAAACAAATTTTCTTAAATTAAATCAATTTAATCACTTTAATTAATCAATTTATTAGAAAATTGTTACGTTTATCCGCCATATTGGATCCGACATTTTGAATTTTAAAAATCTGACTTCGGATTCTTATTCAGCTACCCTAAAAACATTTCTTTATCAAGTTTAATTAACATGCATTAAAATTTATTAAAGTTATTTAAGTTTTTTATTACTACTCTTTGAATGGTTGATTCCATAACTTTTGTGGTACTATAACACTTAACTGATTGAACATTTATACATCTACTATGAATTTTTTTCAAGTTTTTCAATCCCTTAATACAGTAGTATACTTAAAGTAACTTTTTTTAAAAACCTTTCTTAGAATAACTAAGCTGTCCGAATTTACCCCAAATTTTAGGAAACTTTCTAAACCTTGGAGTAAATCCGGACAGTTACTTTTATGCGAGCTTATCTAAATTTTTTCTGCTCCATAAAATTAATGTAGGGAATTCAAGGAAAAAATTAATGCAATATAAAACCGGAAGTATTGCTTTTTATAATAAAATACTTACGTCATTTGTGAAAAATAGATATTTTGTCCGGATTTACCCAAACTGATGACCCTAATTGCCTTCCTGTAAAAATTTTATTTTTTATGAAAATGTTTGCGTAGAATTTTATTAATTTTTTTTTTAAATAATTGAATTCTTTTGGAAAATTTTATTATAAAGTAGTAGATATTAAAAATCATTAAATTGAAGAAAAATTTTGAAAATAATTGAAATTTTGCAAAGAATTTTATTCAAATTTTTGTAAATAATTGAATTTTGGAGAAGAGTTTTATGATTTATAAAGGTAATTTAAAATTTGACGATAATTTTATAAAAAATTTTGAAAATAATTGTAATTTTGCGAAGACTTTTATTAAAATTTTTGAAAATAATTAAATTTCAGAGAATAGTTTTATTATTTATGAAAATAATTGAAATTTGGAAGAGAATGTAATTAAAATTTTTAAAAATAATTGAAATTTTACCAAGAATTTTATGAAAATTTTTGAGAGTAATTGAATGTCGAAGATGCGTTTTGCTATTTATAAAGATAATTAAAAAAATTTTTTTTACTTTTTGAAAGTAATTGAAGTTCTGACAAGAATTTTATTAAAATTTTTTAAAATATTTGAATCACGGAGTAGAGTGTTATTATAAAAATTTTATTTATTTATAAAGATAAATGAAATTTTTTACTTGATTTTTGAAAAAAGTTTAATATTTCCAAAATAATTGAAATTTTGACGAGAATTTAAAAAAAATTTTAGAACATAATTGAATTTCTTTTTGTCGAGAATCACCCTTATAAGTTCATAAATAATTTTTTTAATTCACAAAGAGTATAAAAATTATAATTTTATAAAATTTTTTCCTTTAAAAGTTTATTAAAATGATTTTCAAAACAAGACAAAAATTAAATAGTAACGTGAAGTCGATCGATTCCGTAGAATTGCCCATGAACGAAAAAACAATTTTTTGTCTCGAAAATAAGATTTTTAGAATTATTTAAGATAATAATTATTGTTTTCTTCAAATATTTTTTGTGGACTGTCAGTATATCATTTTTTTCGTTCTTTCCTAATTTAAAAATCTTTTTTTATGTAAAAGATAGTTTAAAGTTTTCTTTTTTATACGACCATTAAGATCCTTAATTTTAAGTGTCTTACTACTATTATTATAAATAGCAATATTCAATCAATAAGTGAAATTAATTTTACAAATATTTATTGTGATTTTAATTTTAATATTTTATTTTTTTTACATATTTTTATTACAATTTGTGATTTCTACGAGAATGCATTGAATTTTAGTAAAATGTTTATTTATTTTGGGTATGGGTCCAACCCTAATTTCACTCTATTTTTCGCAGAACTGATTCCTTCAATTGGATTCATTTCAATTGCCAACATACGCTTCATTTGTGCAAGCCTATTCTCTTCTCTGAATGATTCAGGCAATGGTGGATAAACTGAAAAAGGAAAAGAGTATTTTTTATATCCTCTGAATAGACAATCACTAACTAAGCTGCTAACGAGTATATTTTAATATTAAATTATTACTTTTTTTTTAATAGTAAATTTCAAGTTTTACAAAATAAAAAAAGTTCATGTTTGTCAATTTATAGATATTGAATTTCAAAAAGTTTCAAATTAAATTTTTGGAAAAGATGAATTTTAAAAAAGGTTTAATTAAAAATTCCGAAATAAGTTAGTTTTTTAATTTTTATTAATATTTTTTTTAAATTAGTTATTTTTCTAAATATATATTTAATTAAAAAATTTTCTAATTATTCGTTTCATGAAATTGTCTTGTAAAGTGGATTTTAGAAATATTATAGTTTAGATGAACTTTTTTTGAAATAATTGAATTTTTAAGGAACTTTCTTAAAAAATATTAAAAACAATTGAAATAGAGAAGAATTTTAGTTAAAATTTCTAGAAAATAATTGAATTGAAATTTTGAAAATAATTTTTGATAGGCTACAGTAGCAATTCTTATAAATTTAAATATTTATTTAAATGTTAGTGCTTACCAAACAATCTAAAGTAAATAAATAGCCAGAGTCCCATACTGACTCCAAGGGCCGTTAGACCAAGAATAGATTTCCATTGTCCAGTGGGGGCATCCATTTCAGCCATAGTTTGACAAAAGCTTGCTCTATAAAGTTCTTTCTTCTCATTCACTGAAAGTTTCTTCCAATCGCCTTTCTCTTTCTCCCTCAGAGCCTAATTAATTTTAAAAATAAAAACTGAATTATTAATTAATTAATTAATATTAATATTATTATTAATTAGCCCTCTTGTAATCTTTCTTGTTGGTTTTTGAATAAAATATGTTCAAGTTACCATAACGTCGGGAGTATTCTCCTTAAATCTTATGGCGGGCATTGGACGGTCAAATCGATCAATGTAACATTCTGTTCCATTCAAGCCGAATCCAACAACTTCGCGATTTCCAATTCTATCAACATAGGTAGAAGTTGAATGCGATCTTGAGAATCCCTGTATCATGTTTACTCTTTGGAGACAGCCCATGAGCTTTTTTCCGGCCATGATGGCTATAAATAAAATGTTAAATTATTTTTACACAGAGACAAATATCAAAATTTTCTATAATTTTTCATTTCCATTAATTACTATTTAAAAATTTAGTTTTTCTCTATTTTCGGATAATTTTAATATTTTTAGTTACAAAAAATCTTATATTGGAAAGTTTATGGGTGAATACATTTTCTTTCGACTAAGCTGGTGGCCAGATAATATTTCAAAATTAGAATATTTTATAAGAATCATAAGTTTGATGTTATCAGACTTCCAACTCGATAATTAATTTTAAAAAAGTAGCAAAAAGTAGCTTTCAAACTAAAAAAAAGTAGAAAAAAAGTAGCTATCAAAAAATTAAACTTGACGACCAAAAAAAACTCGTTTTAAACACTTCGCAAAACTGATAAAAATAATTTTGTTATTTATCGACATAATTGAATTCTTTAGAAAAATTATTTATGTGAATAATTGAATTCTTGGGAAGAATTTTATTAAAATCGGAAAGAATAATTGAATTATTTCAAAAAAATTTAATAATTAAAATTTAATTTTAAATAATTGATTACTTTCGAACAATTTTATTAAAATATTTGAAAATAATTGAATTCCTGTGAAAAATTCTAATATTTTTGTAAATAATTAAATTCTTCCAAAGAATTAAACAAAAAATATTTTTTAAATTTTATTTGAGAAAATAATTGAATAGTTACTAAGAATTTTATTATTTAAGATTTTTATTAAATTATTATTTTATTAAAATGTTTAAAAAGAATTGAATTATTAGATGTCCAATTATTAGGCATCTAATTAATTATTAATTATTAGATGCCTAACAATTTTCAAAAATTTTAATTTACTTTGTTTGAAGATAATTAAATCTTAAAAAATGAAGATAAAACAATTCTAAGAATTAGTTTTTTAAAAATATTGTAATGTGATTTCTCGAAAATAATTGAATTTTTAAGAAGAATTTTTGCAAAATTAAAAAAAAACAAAATTAATTTTTTTAAGAATTTTAATTAAAAATTTTAAACATGATTGTTTTCTCAAAAATTTTTTAAATAATTCTAAAAAATTTTAAAGTTATTTTTTGAATGTGTTTGAATTTTTTGAAACATATAATTAAAAATATTGAAAATAATTGAATATTAAAAAATTATAATGAAAAAATTCTAAGAATTAGTTTTTAAAAATAATATTTTAATATAATTTTTAGAAGCTAATTTTCATAAATTTTCATTTTTAAATTTATAATAATTGAAGATTTTTCATTAAAATTTTTAAGAATTGAATTATTTTCGGCAATAAAAAATTATTTATTTATTCAAATTATTTGGATTAATATTTTTAATAATATTTTTAATTAATAGTTTTAATATTAATATTTTTTAATATATTTATTTTAAAATTATTGTATATTTCGAAAATTTATTCAAAAATAATTTATTATTTTTTACATCTTATCAAACTTAAAATATTTTTATTTCCATTTAAGAGGTTAGAATTTTTGAAACTCATTATTGTCACAATTTTATATTTTTAGTTTCATTAAAAAAAACCTCAAGTTTCAAATAAAAATACAAACATTTTGTTTAATGGGGAATAAGGGATTAAAAATGAAAAATAAGCGTTTATTTTGTAAAAAATGAGGTTAACATTTTTTTTGTAAATACTTTTTTTATCATTAAAATAAGTACTTGGAAAATTCTTTAAAAAAACTCTGCATAAAAATTAAAATCCATAAAATTTTTGTCAAAATTATAAACAATTGAATACAACAGTTTCACTTCAAATCGCAAAAGTTTAACAATCAAAATCAGCGTGCTAGTGTTCTTTATTGTTACTTGTCAAAATGTTACGTTTTATATACACACGTATTACATAATAAAACAATATATAAATATACATGCAATACAACAATGGTGATTTAATAGTTGTGAAACAATTGACTATCAAAATTTACTCCCATTCATTGAAAATTAATTGCACACAATTTACTAAGTGTTAATATATCCTTTTCAATATATTAAAAAAAAAGAATACTTTTTTTACCATATTTTTCAATTTATATAAATTTTAAACCGAAAACACACACTATCATGCAATTATCTTTCATAAATATTGTCAAATTAGTTTTGAATTAAAAATCAATAAGTAAACAAGTTAAAATAAAATATTTTCTACACTGAATTTTAAATGGTTACCTAATCACACAATATCAAGAAAATGAACATCGTTTTTTGAAAGAATAAAAAGAAAATTATCAATAACAATTATCGAAAAAATATCTAAATTTTTTGGTACGTACGTTTTTTAAAAAATCTATTTTTGCAAAATTTTTCACTTGCTGTTAATTAATTATATTCTTGGGTTTTTCTATAAAACTAAATGTAATGGATCACAGAAGGTTCCATTAGAGGAAAATGCAGACAGAAATTCTTTAAATATATATAAAACCCAGGTGATCTTAATCAGCGCTGGGAAATATGGGCGAACGCACATTGAAAATCGTAAGACGTAAATCGTGATATTTGTATGAGATAGAAGAGGAAAGATATATACTTTTGTCCTTTTCTATCGCAGGTAAAGGAGCATTTACACCTTCAGTAAAAATTTCCAGAACGGAAAATTTTTCATTGGAGTAAGAGAGACAGACTGTGTATCCGTTCTTACGCTTTGACGCTTTTAAAGGTCAACGCACAATAGCTTCGCTAACGTCGTTCGCGAACGCAAAGCATGAGATAAAAAAGAACACATATATATCTCTGTCCTTTTCTAACTCATGCCTTGCATTACATTTTTCAAGGAATTCGATTAAAATTGTATTAAAAGTAATTTATTTTAATAAAAATAAAATATAGTTTTAATAATATTATAACTGTTAATAATCATATATTCTGACACAGGGAATTCAGAGAAAAGTCAGGGATTTTTATTAAAAGTACTAAAAAAAATTAAATTTTTAGAATTTATAAGAAAATTTTTAATTTTTGTGTGTTTTTTGTTATTGAAAAATTTTAATAAATTCAAAATCTTCTAAAATGAGTTAAATTTTTAATATATATTTAATTAATTATTAAAAATAATGGATTTATAGAAGAATTTCAGTTAAAAACACTAAAAAAATTGAATTTTGAAGAAATTAGAAATGATTGCAAAAATTCAATTATACTTTCAAAAGTAATAAAATTCTTATCACAAAATTCAATTATGTTTAAAATTGAAAAAAAAATCTTGTTAAAATGCCAATTATCTTTATAAATAATAAAATTTTCTTCAAAATTCAATTATTTTAAAAAATAATAAAAATCTTCGCAGAAATTCAATTATGTTCAAAAATTTATAAAAATTCTCGTCAAATTTTCAATTATTTTCCAAAATTTCAATTACATTTTGTTCCAAATTTCAATTATCTTCATTTAAATATAATAAAACTATTCTCCGAAATGTAATTATTTTCAAAAATTTTAATAAAATTCTCGTCAAAATTTAAATTATCTTTAAAAATTCGATTCTTTAAAAAAAAAAATTTAATAAAATCCTACGCAAACATTTTTATAAAAAATAAAATTTTTACAGGAATTCAATTATTTACAGTTTCTTTTTAGTTTCTTCTCAATAATTAAATTATTTTAATAAATAATAAAAAAAATTTTACAGAGATTCAATTATTTTGGTAAAAATAATAAAATTCTTTTTAGAAATTCAAGTATTTTCATAAATAATAATTCAATTATAAAAAAAATGCAATTATTCAATAAACTGTTTTTTTGTATTTAAATAATTGAATTCTAGTAAAATTTTCTAAAAAACATTGATTTAAAAATAGATTTTAGTTAAAATTTTAGATTATAATTGAAAATTAAAAGCATTATAGCGTGAATGCGTTAATTTCTAGAATTAATTGAAAATTGAATTTTTAGAAATAGTTGAATTTTAAAAAGGTTTAAAATTAAAATCTTTAAAAATCTGAATTTTTCATATTTTTAACTAACAATTATGTGGAATTATTTTTTTTTGGAAAAAGTTGAATTCAATTTTTTATTTTCTTCTAAGTATTTAATTGAAGAAGTTCCGAATAATCGAAAATTTTTGTGAAATTTAATTGTAAAAAAATGTATTTAAAAATTTTTAAGGAACGTTTTCAAAAAAAAAAAATATTAAAAATAATGCATTTATAGAAGAGTTTTAGTTAAAAACATGAAAAAAAAAATTTAATTTTGGAAAAGTTACAAATTATTGCAGAAATTCTAATTCAATTATTTTCAATTTGTTTGATAAAATTCTTTATGCGGGAATTGAATTTTAAGAAATATTCAATTATTCAATAAATTATTTATTTGCATATTATTTGTATTTAAATAATTGAATTCTAATAGAATTTTCTAATAAAAATTGATTTAAAAATGAATTTTAGATAATAATTGAATATTAAAATAGCAATTTAGCGCAAATTTTTAGAAATAATTGAATTTAATGTTTTTTATATTATTTGAAGTTTTTATTTTCTAATATATGTTTAATTGAAGAATTTACGAATAATTGATATTTCGTAAAATTGAATATTGTAAAAATTATTTATGAAAACAATTGAATTCTTACAATTTTATTATATTTTTTTAAACAATTGAATTCATGCGGAAAAATTTTATTACTTGTAAAAATAATTGAATTCTTGCGAAGGATTTTATTAAAATTTTTGTAAATAATTAAATTTTTTTTTTTGAAAAATTTTATGGAAATTTAAATTATTATAAAACTTAAATTAAAAAAATTAAAAAAAATCAAATTAAAAAATTATAAAATTTAAATTATTATTATTGTTTTATTATTATTATTATTTATTATTATTGTTTTATAGTTATGAAAAACTAAATTTATATTTTTAAGTAAAAATGTTCTCTTTTATTTGACTCGGACTGTTATATTTTTGTCAGTAATTGGTCCGTAATTTTTTATTTTTAATCCGTACAATCCGTATTTTTAATCATTTGTTAAAATTTTATTCAAGCAGTGAGTTTACTTTCTATATTATTCGTAGATAGATATTGACAATGCAGCATGTGAATTACCCTTAAGGACAACTGAGGCTTGTATACATCAAATGTAGTGTAAATGTACCTTAAGACTTGAGTTTCTGCTGAGCTGGGTTGAATGTTTACATCCTGAGAATCATAATTTGTGATAATTTGCATATCATTCTGTCACAATAGTCTTCTAAATTTAGAATAGAGAAATATTATTCATTTTTTTTTTTGCAAAGTATACTTCTCCTTATATTCAAGAATATTCCCAAATAGTTAGCAGTAGAAAAAAAAGTGTTAAATTTGTGTTTTTTCATCATATTTCAAACTAAATTAAAAGGTTCTAAGAAAAAGCCTTCAAAATGAAAATAACAGTAACAACGTTGAGCGATGTTATTTTTATTTTAGATGTAAGTGAAGATTTGGAGCTGGAAAATTTCAAAGCATTTTGTGAAGTTGAAAGTGGCCTTCCAGCACATGAAATTGTTATTATGTTTAACGGTCGACCTTTAATGGACGATAAAAAATCATTGAGACAACTCGGTATAAATGACGGTGATGTTGTGATAATTCAACACATGCATCAAAGTAGTAGAGCTGATTTAAATCTACATCCGTTCAATGCTTGTAAGACTTGAATAATATTTATTCATTGTTTACGTACTTAAATTCGAGGCATTTAATCTTTGGTTTCAAATTTTCTAGCTATTCCTGTATTAGACTTTAGTTCTATAAGGATACCGGGAGCGTCAACAAGTCGAGTCGCACCAAGTACAAACAACATCTCAGCACAAAGAGTTCAAAATCCTCGCAGTGAAGACGATCCTTCAATGATTCGAGATATGGTTTTGGCAAATCCCGATCAATTGGCATTATTAAAGCAAAATAATCCCAGATTAGCTGATGCTTTATTGTCAGGGAATCTTGGTAAGAGATGCATTTCAAAAAATGTTATTTATAAATTTTATAAATTTCATTAAAATCCATGCTCTAGAATGCATCAAAAATACACATTTTGAATAATTAAAATTATGGATTTTTATAAAACAATATAATATCACACTAAAATTATAAATCCGAACAAAATAACAGCACAAAAAAATACACATTGTTTATAAAATTGTTATTAAAAATTAAATATTTTTGAAATTTTTTTTTATAATTATTATTTAAAAGAGGGAATATTAATTAACTACCAAAAAAATTCCATTAATTTCTAACAAAATAATTTCGAGTTATTATTTTTTTTAAATAATTCAAAAATTTGTTATTTTAAAAGTTATAAAAATTTTAAATTTCTAAAAATGGTTAAAAGTAGTCTTAGTAGAGTTGATATGTTTTTAAGAAAAACTAATAAATAAATCCTTGATTCCTGTACAATTTTCTGTGACGGTAAATTTTTTGTTCAATTGGTTGTAGAAAGATTTGCGACCGTACTGAAGGAACAAATAAAGCTTCGAGAAGAAAGACAAGCACAAAGACAAAGAATGATGAATGCGGATCCATTGGACACTGAAACACAACGATTAATTGCAGACGAGATACGACAGAAGAATATAGAGGCTAATATGGAGGCTGCTATGGAATATAATCCAGAAACTTTTGGCACTGTTGTCATGTTGTACATCAACTGTAAAGTTAATGGATTTCCAGTAAAAGCATTTATCGATTCAGGTGATTAAACAACTTTTAATTATGAAGCTTATATTTTCTAAAGTTTCATTTAAATATGAAACCGAATCCTCATTTTGATGAATTGTTCATGTTGATTGTGAATCTTCAAATAATGCTCCAGCAAATTAATTTTTAAAAAATGTTAATTTCATTACTTTTTTCTCCTTCTTCTATAATTGAACCCCTTGATCCAAGAACCGGACGCAGCCCATTTAATTTTAATGGTCTATGTCTGGTTCTTTCATCAAGGGGTTCAATTACATTTTTAGCTTCGCACTCATCTACTAAAACCTATATTAGTTACGTAGTTTTTTTTACGTTATGCTACTATTTGGGTACTCAAAAATTATAATCAAATTTCTATAAAACGATTCAATTATTTTCAAAAAATATTCGAAATTCAATTATTTTCAATATCTAGTATTTTCATAAAGTTTCGTGAAAGAATTCAATTATTTAAAAAAAAAAGTTGATAAAATTCATTCGAAATTCAATTATTTTCATAAATAATAAAATTTCCACAGGAATTCAATTAATTTATAATACCATTTTCAAAAAAATTTCGAAAAAATCAATTATTTAACAAAATTGATATACAATTCTTTATAATAATTCAAATACTTTCACTAATAATATTTTTTATGGAAATTCAATTTTTTAAAAAATTTTTTGATAAAATTCTCAGCAAGAATTCAATTATTTTCATATATAATATAACTCATCGAAGAATTTCAATTATTTTTAATACTTTTTTAAATAAATTAATCGAAAATTTAATTATTTTCACAAATAAAGTTTTCCACAAGAATTCAATATATTTAAAATAAAATTTTCGTAATATTTATTTTATTTAGAAAAAATTAATTATTTAAAATAATATTTATAAAACTTTTATGAAGAATTCAATTATTTTCAAAAATAACAAAAATTTTCACAGAAATTCAATTCTTTTTAAACATTTTAATAAAATTTTTTGCAATAATTCAATTATTTTTGGAAATTTTAATAAAATTCTTTTCAAAATTCAATTATTTTCATAAATATCAAAATTCATCGAAGAATTTCAATTTTTTTAATACAATTTTACAGAATTTGCTTGAGAAATGTAATTATTCTTAAAAATTTAATTTCAATTCCTCGAAAAAATCATTTATTTAAAAAATGTTTTTTTAAATTCTTTGGATAAATTCAAATATTTACAAAATTAGTAGAATATTTAACAGGATTTCAATTATTTACAAATATTTTAAGAAAATTTTGCAAAAGAAATCAATTATTTTAAATATAATTTTAGTTATTTTTTTTTTTATTCAATTCTTCTTTTAGATTTTAATAAAATTCTTCTCAAGAATTCAATTATTTACATAAATAATTCTTCGTAAGAATTTAATTATGTCGATAAATAACAAAATTATTCCCAAAAATTCAATTATTTTGAGGTATTTTAAAAAGATTCTTTGCAAAATCCAATTATTTTCATAAATAACAATATTCATCACAGGAATTCAATTATTTTTAAAAGTAATAAATTTCTTTTGGGAGATTTAATTATTTTAAAAAATTCTTAATAAAATCGTTTGCAAGAATTCAATTATTTTGATAGATAATAAAATGATTTTTAGGAATTTAATTATTTTCAAACAAAAAAAAAAAAATAAAAAAATTTAATAAAATATTACACATACATTCAATTATTGTCAAAAATTTTAGTTGAATTCTTTGTGAAATTTAATTATTTTTAAAAACTTTTTGCAATTTAATGATTTCCAATATCTACTATTTTCATAAAATTTCCAAACAGAATTCAATTATAAAAATTTGTTTGTAAAAATCTTCGTAAAAATTCAATTCTTTTTATGAATAATAAACATTTCCCAGGAATTCAATTATTTAAATTAGAATTTGCATAAAATTAGTCGAAAGAAATAAATTTTTAAAAATTGTTATAAAATTCTTGACAAGAATTAAATTATTTCTATAAATATTTAAATTCTTTCATGAATAATAAAATTCGTTGCAGGAATTCAATTTATTAGCAGTAGGATAAGGAAGAAGTAAATATTTTTGATGAAAATCAGAAAAAAGACAGGAAAATAAGAAATACGGAATGTAATTTTTGTCAGTTTCGTGAAGTGTCAAAAACGAGTTTTTTTGGTCGACAAGTTTAATTTTTCGATAGCTACTTTTTTACTACTTTTTTCAGTTTGAAAGCTACTTTTTGTTACTTTTTTAAAATTATTTATCGAGTGCGAAGTTCGTTTTATTATAAATAATCATTAGTTTTTTATAAAACTGTAAGTGATACGTAATCGTAATTTGTATATGGGGCATTCCAGGCCAAATCGGAAATTATTTTGCTTTTGCATCTCAAATTTTTTTTAAACATTTTTTTTTAGTACTTTTTAAAATGAGCTACCTTGATTTTTTTCAAATTTTTTCATAAAGCGGTTCAGGAGATACAGATTTTTGAAAAATGACGTTTTTTACGTAAATTTTTGTTTTAAATGCTTATAACTCGGTCAAAAATTGATCAAATTGGACGTTATTATAATGAAAAGTTTTGTTTTCAAGCGTAGTTTTTAATAAAAATATTTTTAAAAATTTTTTAAATAATTTACGATAAGATTTAAAAATTTTTAAAATAAAATTTCATTTTTAACAATGTATGTATCGATCAATTTTTTTCAAAATTTTTTGTAAGAAACTAGCACTAAAATAACAATTTTTAAGCCTTATCCGATCGTGGGCAAACGATGGGATCTATTTATTTAAAAAATTTTAATTTTTATATACGCAGTGGTGGCCAATGACTAACTTGCCATTTGACAAAATCACACAAATTTTTCACAGCAAATGTGTTTTTAGACTAAGTCTCTACAAACTTAACCTTCTTTCTGTGTAAAATTGAGATTTGGTCAAATGACAAGTTTGGCCTACCGTTTTCACTGCGTATATAAAAATTAAAAATTTTTAAATAAATAGATCCCATCGTTTGCCCACGATCGGACAAGGCTTAAAAATTGTTAATTTAGTGCTAGTTTCTTACAATAAATTTTGAAAAAAATTGATCGATACATACATTGTTAAAAATGATATTTTATTTTAAAAAATTTTAAATCTTATCGTAAATTATTTAAAATTTTTTTAAAAATATTTTTATTAAAAACTACGTGTGAAAAAAAAATTTTTCATTATAATAACGTCCAATTTGTTCAATTTTTGACCGAGTTATAAGCATTTAAAACAAAAATTTACGTAAAAAACGTCATTTTTCAAAAATCTGTATCTCCTGAACCGCTTTATGAAAAAATTTGAAAAAAATCAAGGTAGCTCATTTTAAAAAGTACTAAAAAAAATGTTTAAAAAAAATTTGAGATGCAAAAGCAAAATAATTTCCGATTCGGCCTGGAATGCCCCATATGTAAATTTGAATTGTCTAAATATGTAAAGATCTTAAAGTACTATTATTATTACTGCAATGTGGATTAAAAAAAGTTTAAAAGTTTAATTTTTAATTTTAAACTTCAGGGGCGCAAACTACAATTATGTCGGCAGCTTGTGCTGAAAGGTGTCACATAATGAGATTGGTTGACACGCGATGGGCGGGAATTGCGAAAGGTGTTGGTGTCCAACGAATTATTGGAAGAATACACATGGTACAGATACAAATCGGTAATGATCATCTCACAACATCATTTAGTGTATTAGAAGAGCAACCAATGGACATGTTGCTTGGCTTAGACATGCTCAAAAGACATCAATGCTGTATTGATCTCAAAAAAAATGTTCTAACTATTGGAACCACTGGAGCCGAGACATCTTTTCTTACTGAAGGTAAAGACATGTATATAAATATACTTTTTTTTATTAAATTAATATTCAGTGCTTATTTTTGCTTATAAATAATATACTTTTTCTATTAAATTAATATACAGCGTTTATTTTTGCTTATAAATATACTTTTCTTATTGAATTAATGTTCAGTGCTTTTTTTTGCTTTTTTAATTGCTTATTTTTGTTGTATCATTTTCTTTAGCTTTAGACGCCCTTTAGACACCATCGAATAATAAATGAATTTTTATTCTACTTTCAGGAGAACTTCCAGAGTGTGCAAGATTAAGTGGTAATAATGATGATGCTTTTGATGATAGAGATCTTCAAAAAGCTCTCGAAGATAGTTCCAGAGAAGCAGGTAAGCTTCAGATGAGTAAGTATACCTTCATTTTTTATTTTTATTAATTCTTTAGAACTTACTATATTAAAATTTTTCTTTAATTCCATAATTTTTTATTTCTTAAAAATATGATTAACAAAGATAAATTTTTTTTTTAGGTGGCCAAAGTAGGGCTAATTCTTCAAGTGCTTCTAGTTTATCAAGTTCAGAAAACATTGTACTTCCACACGATCCATTCACGGAATCTACAGTCGTTGAAATTGAGTCTCTAGGTTTTACTAGAGCTCAAGTATTAGCAGAACTGCGTAGATTAAATGGAGATAAAGCTCAAGCCACTGCTGCTCTCTTTGCGAAATCATTAAAATTTTAAATTCTAATCTTACTTTACCATGAGCTTATGTTACCTACCGGTTTTTGGCGCATTATTAATTAATTAATTAATTAATTTTCTGTTACTATATTATATTTTATTTTATTTTATTTTTAAAATCTAACTACCAACATTAGGAGAGAGACTTTACTTACGAATTTTTTATTCGTAAGTAGCTATTATAATTTTGGTGGAAATATAATTCTTGAATAATTAAATATTCAAGTTTCAAAAATAAAAACAAAACATTTACAAGACTTTAAAGAATAATACAAAAAATAAATTTGTATTATGGTTAATGAAAGACTTGAAATTAGAATTCTAAAGGTTTCAGTGCAAATTTAGAAATTATGTTAATGCTAATTACGTGTGAAAATTTATAAAAATAACTTAGTTATTATTAATAACCATATGGCATTTTATAAAAATTGAAATAATTAATAACAATTATAATCAATAGTGAACGTGTCATAATGAAATACTGGGAATTTATAAGAAAAATACACATATTTTATTACAAATTTCATGTATTTTTGCATTTTCTTCATTGAAGGACCTTCAATCAATGAAGGTTGTAATGGAAATTAATAACGTGAACCTAAATTTATCCACCTTGACCCATTGAAATTTATTAATATTGTTTCTATTTTTCAATTCATTATCGTCGCTGTATCATAAAGTTTTGAAAATATTTCATAGATAACCAAATTTGGAAATTTCTACAAATGTTATATTATGAGCAATATAAATACGTTCCTTGTTTTGTATAATTTTTTCTCACAATAAAAAAAAAGTAATAATAACCTCTGTAAAGTTGTAGTACCTATAATTTTTAAGCGTACATATTTTAATTTCAAAGATGAAGTATATTTATTTTGTTGCCATTTTTTGTACATGTTTAAACATCTTAAAATTTCTTCAAAAAGAAATTTTTTATTTAGACGAATAATTGGATTTCATTAGCTGCTTATGTTAATAATTAAGTTAAATTTTACATTTGTTACAAATCAATATTAAAATTTTACTTATAAATTTTACTTGCGATAAACCCATTTTATAATATTCCAGAGAATTAAATTATTTTCAAAAATATTAATGAAATCAATGAAATTTTTTTTAACACTTCAATTCTTTTTCAAAATAATTTTAATACAATTCTTTGTATAAATTTCATTAACTTCCATAATTTAACAAAATTCAATTATTTTCAATATCTACTATTTCAATAAAATTTCACAAAAGAATTCAATTACCTAGGTATTTAAAAAGAAATATTAAAAAATCCATCACAAGAATTCAATTATTTTCAAAGGAAAAATTTTTTTTGCAGAAATTCAATTATGGTCAAAAGTTTTAAAAAATTATCGTCAAAATTTCAATTATCTTTATAAATATTAAAATTTTTCTCCAAAATTCAATTATTTTCAAAAATTTTAATGAAATTCTTTTTAACAAATTCAATTTTTTTTTTCAAAAATTCTCCTCCATTCAATGATTTTCAATATTTAGTATTTTAATAAAATTTTCCACAAGAAATGAATTATGTATTTTAAAAATTTTTTGATAAAATTCTTAGCAAACCTTTTATTATTTTTATAAGTAACAAATATTTCACAGCAATTCAATTATTTACAAATTTTTTTATAAATTTCTTCGCAATAATTCTATTATTTTTAAAAATATTCAATTTATGTTTACAGAGATTCAATTATTTTTATAAATATGTAATACAATTTTTTACAGGGATTCAATTATTATTTTTATAAATATTAAAACTAATTACAGATTTTCAATTATTTTTGATACAATTTTAATCGAATTCCTCAAAAAATGTAATTATTCTTAAAAATTTTATTAAAATTCGTCTCAAGAATTCAATTATTTTCAAAAGTAATAAAATTCTTCGCAGAAATTCAATTATGATTAAAAAGTTTAAAAATTTTATTGGCAAAATTTCAATTATTTTTATAAATATTAAAATTTTTCTTCAAAATTCAATTATTTTAAAAAATTTTAATAATAATCTTGGCAATATTTCAATTATTTTCAAAAATTTTAATAAAATTCTTGACAAAATTTCAATTATTTTCAAAAACTTTTCTCAATTCAATGAAATTTTTTTACAGAGATTCAATTATTTTTAATACATTTTTTATTTTAATCTAATTTCTCGAAAAATGAAATTATTCTTAAAAATTTTATTGAAATTCGTCAAAAGAATTTTAATTACCTATTTAAAAATTTGTTGATAAAATTCTTTAAATGAGAGTTCGATTTTCAAAAAACGTTTAATTCATTAATAAATTATTTTTTTGTATTTAAATAATTGAATTGTCGTAGAATTTTCTAATAATAATTGATTCAAATGTGAATTTCAGTTAAAACTTTAGATAATAATTGAGTTTTGAAAAGCAGGTCTCAAATTATAATCTTTGAATGTTTGAATTTTTCATACTTTTAACTTAGAATTGTGTAGATTTAATTATTTTGTAAAAGTTGAATTAAATTTTTTTGAAGTTATTTAAAGTTTTTATTTTCTAATATATATTTGATTGAAGAATTTCCGAATAATCGATGAAATTTCGTGAAATTGAATTGTAAACAAAAGGATTTGAAAATGTTCAAAGAAATGTTTCAAAAATTATTAATAATAATTAATAATTAATAATTAATTTAAAGAAGAATTTTAGTTAAAAATTCTGGAAAACAATAATCGAATTGAAATGATGAAAGTAATTTTTAATTATTATTATTATAAAAATAAAGAAATCGATTACTCCGAGTCGAAGACTCGATTTCTTTATGTTTTATAACAATTTTTTTTATAAGTTGTTTAATTTGAAAAAGGTTTGAATTAAAAATTTTGTAAAATATAAATGTAGTTTTAAAAACCTGGAAAAATTTCGTTTTTTAACCTCTATGGAGAACCTGGACACAGGTCTCCATTTCTAATTATTGATTTAACCTGACAAGCTTTCTTTTTCTTTTTGGTCACTCTTATTTTATTCAGTCTTGATTTAAGTAGTTTTCTTAACTTCCCTTATTTCTCTTTTCTTTTGCTTCATTTGCGTACCCCGTCTTGCCCCACTCTTCCCTACCCAATCTTGCCTGCACCTACGAAATTGAATAAAATGATTAATTACTACAATTTACGATTCAACAAAGAAAAAAACATATATGCTTCCCTTCTTCTGTAACCCTTGCCAGTTATAAAAATTTTTATATAGTTCATTAACCGTTATTATTAAATAATAAACACCTCCTAGAAAAAGTGAAAAATTCACAAGAAAATCGTCGAAAACAGTTTTTTTAGTAAAACAGGTAAAAGATTTGTTCTCATGGCTTTTAGGTTTTGTAAACAAGAAACTATCGTCTCGGTGTAGTATTATGTAAAATATAATCGCGATTGGTTAATTCGTTTGTTAAATAGGGCCGGTACCCCGTCTTCCCCCACTCTCCTCTATAAGTACCAAAAATCACTTTTTAGTTTTTGTAAATACAACTGTTTTAAAAAATGATTGGATTGGTTTAAAATTTGTTATTCAGGGGTTTCAGGGTCGCTGATTGCGATAAATATGATGTCAAAATAAAAAAATCTGTGGACAGATTCCTAATCAGCGACCCCGAAATCCCGCGAGTAACGAGTTTCAGGCAAATTGAATCGATTTTTAAAAGTCGATCGCCATATTGGATCCAACATTTTGAGTTTTAAAAATCTGACGTCATATTCGTAATCAGCGATCCCGAAAACCACCGAGTAACAAATTCTTAGCGAATCCAATCATTTTTTAAAATAGTTGTATTTAGGTCAATTTGTATGCAGGACAACTGTTGAAAAATCAATTTTGACAGTTAATTTAGTTTGTTGTTGGCAATATCGCTATATTTTCGTAAAGTAGAGGGTTCAAGCTTTAATTTAACTCATATGACAAGTCTCTAGCACGTCGGATTTACCTAGTAGAAATTTTCAAAAACTATACTAAGAAATGATTTTTGGGTATTTTACCCCCAATTTTCTCAAAATCCTGACGTGATGGGAGGTTTTTGTTAAATGTTAATTCGGATTTAGCGCACCAAAAGCTTCGGTAAATGACTTCTCGATCTCAGACAACGGAAATTTTTATTTTTTGCAGGCTTCTGAAATTATATATACCCAAGTGCGAAAACCAACGCGGCCCAACACTGGCCCAGTATTGGCAAAGCTGGCATCGAGACTTGGCAGACAATATTGGCCCGACTTTGCGCCGACTCTTGTGGTGTTAACCGCGGTTGGACGTCGGCAGCCAGATCTCGGCAGACATTACTGTCCCAATATTGGCACCAAATCTCGGCAGACATTAATGGCCCATTATTGGCAGCCAGATCTCAGCAGACATTAATGGCCCAATATTGGCTGCCATTACTCCCCCAGTGTTGACAAAATTAGAAAAAAATAAAAATAATTTTTTTTTATTCAATTAACTAATTAATTTATAACATTTATACGGCTTATTTCCCTAATTTAAACGCAAACTTACAAATATTTGAAAAATTCTTACCTCTCGCGGGGATCGATACCTGAACCTGACGCTCCACAGCCTAACACTCTGACCACTCTGCTACTCTGACTTGAAGTCGAGGAAGCAAAAGGGTTCTTATAAGCTACACTACACTGGCCAATACTGTGCCATTATTCGGCCGAGCTACGTCCCAATATTGGCAATTATAATTTGCCATCATAGATACAAAATGATAGACATTAATGTGCCATTCTTGGGCCAAGCTACATCCCAATTCTGGCAATTATATTTTGCCATCAAAGATACAAAATGTTTGCCATTAAAGTGCCAACAATGAGCCATTAATGGACCGATCTTCGTCACATCACTGGCAATTGAATTTTGCCATTAAAGATTGATCAACTTTGCCGTGAATGTGCCGTTATTGGGACAAGCTACGCCCCAATACTGTCAATTATAATTTGCCATAAAAGATACAAATTTTTTGCCATTAAAGTGCCAATAATGAGCCGATCTTCGTCACAACACTGGCAGTTGTCTTTTACCATTAAAGATTGATCAACTTTGTCGTGAATGTGTCATTATTGGGCCAAGCAACGCCCCAATTCTGGCAATTATAATTTGCCATGAAAGATACAAATTTTTTGCCATTAAAGTGCCAATAATGAGCCGATCTTCGTCACAACACTGGCAGTTGTCTTTTACCATTAAAGATTGATCAACTTTGTCGTGAATGTGCCATTATTGGGCCAAGCAACGCCCCAATTCTGGCAATTATATTTTGCCATTAAAGATACAAAATTTTTGCCATTAAAGTGCCATTAATGTGCCTTTAATGGGCCAATCTTTGTCACATCATTGGCGATTGAATTTAAAAAAATTTTAATATCATAATTCATGGTATATTTTTAATATTTAATTATTATCTGAAAATTTGACTAGAATCCATTTTGAAATCAATTTTTACTACAAAATTCTACGAGAATTTAATTATTTAAATGCAAAAATAAATAATTTATTGAATAACTAAATGTTTCTTAAAATTGAATTATGAGAATTAAATTTTAAAAAACATTCATTTATTCAATAAATTTTCTTAAGGAAATAATTTGCATCATTTCTATTTCTTAATTACAATTGCTTTAAGAAAAATTCAAAGATTTTTAAAAAAAGAAGGAAAAAAATGTTTATAAATTCTATTTGTCAATTGCAAATATTAATTGAAAGTGAAATTGAAAATTTCTTAATTTTTAGATAATAAAGGAAAAATTTTACTCAAAAAAAGGTTTCTGTAACATTTATTTACGAATTTCT